CTGCTAAGCTTATTTAAAATCAAATAATAATAAATTAATTTAAAAAAATAACAAGGAAAGTACGATTTTGTTAATTATTATTAGTACAATATTATGTCGTTTGTACCTATAAGAATAGCATTCATGCTCGACGCCAGTTTGATTTTCATATATGTCATCTTCATTGGAAACGCAGTAGCTCTTATCAACTACTTCTTTTAATGATTTTTCAGATGTTTTGACATTAGGGGCTATATACGATGGCTGCAATTCGGAACCGTTGGCTTTATTATTATCAGGTGTTTGAAAAGATAAGTCATATTCGTGCTYAACAATTTTACTATTTAAACTGGATACCTCGAACGATTCTATACTATTTCGATTCTCTGCTACTGTGCTTTCAGTTATACTTTCCTGTATATTACTGTTTTCTAATTCTTTCTCTTCTGTTTCTTCAATTTGTCGGACACTTTTGAACGATTCGTTTGCTGAAAGGAGTACGGTTCTTTTTTCTTCAACGTAATCGTCCTCTTCGGTTTCATGGTCGGTAATTTCTTGGATAGTATCTAGATATCCCATCGATTCTGCTTCATTATAAGTCTTACTCAATACKTTTTCCAACTCCGTATGAACTGACGGAATGTGATCATCGTTAACCATTGAGTTAACAATAGTATTAGACGATTTATGAAATGTTTTTCCCAACCATTCCGGTGATGTAAAAATTTTCATTATTTCTAAGTCCTGCCTTGAATGATTTCTATTGTTTATAATATTCTCGTGTTCTTTTTTCTTTGTTATTTCAGCGGGATTTTGTGGTGATATAGTAGCAGACATAATCTTTTTGTGCTCTTTAGTACTTAATTCTTTGTAATCATTTGGTACTTTCTTCGAACCCGATGTCGAGTAGTATACGTTTTTGTTGATTTTTTTCTGATTCGAACGATCTCGTTCGAAATTATTATCTGGATTTGATAATGTAGATTTATATAATAGGTGTTTTCGTATTGTTTTTTGAGACATGGTTTGTTCAAATTACAAATTTTACCTCAGCAAAATATTATGTAGAAAACAAAGCTGAAAATGTAGTGTTCAATACAAATACGAGAGTATCCTAGCAATAAAATATTATGTTGCTTTTTAGTTAGTTTTTAATATTACGTATAGGTAGTTTTAATCAACATAATACCAAACATATCCCGCCATATTGTTTCTCTGACATGAACAATTACTTTCAGGTCGATTATCATTCATTGAACGTCTTTAAGTCCGGCGCGTATGAGGTTTGCATTCGATATTATTTTAATGCATTTCTTTCGTCAAAAAAGTGAAAGTTATAAAAGTGTATACATATTTCGGATATAAAATATGTATTATTCAGCTGTGTAAATCCTACATTTTATTCACATATTATTACATATGAATTATAGTTACTTTGAGCTTGGGGTATATTACGCCATCCGGATAATCAAAAGATGTGGAGAATCATAATATTATGTAAGTTAGACACTATAATTCAATATCCAAACGATTAMAATATTTATAAAATAAWCATGTCAGGGGATATCTACACCTATAGCTAGGAATGAAATAGATATTCATATTGATAATAATACTTCAAAACAACTATTTTACACCATATAATAATAATTAATGATCTAAATATGATAAACTGAAATCTAGACGTTTCCTGTATGCCTTAATAAAATTATAATTCYGTAATCCAATCACTTTAGTTTCAATCTTCAACAAAATTTGCATTACATTTTAATTGGAATTCAATAATATTCATAAAAAAAACTAGACAATAACCTTGGTTGTTGTCATAAATACGATATATTTGTGAAAAATTTAATATAATATATATTATATTGTATAACATACTCGTACGTATGAAATAGTTTATTTCATCTATCATAATTAATCATTAAGGTACATTTAAAGTGTACATATTATTATTATACATTAATACTACATA